AGTTGCACCAATTAGCTTAAGCAATAGCAAAAGTATAAATGAGAATAAGGAAAAAACCAGCAACATAAAGAAACCCAAGAAAATATGAAGCCAAACATGCTTATAGATGAGTGGAGCTTAGTGAAAGCCTTAAGAGCCTCTTCAAGTGAACCCGTGGTAACAAATGCCAAACCCTTGTCAATAGTCTTGTTATACATTGAAAGCTGAACCAAGAAATTAAAATAATTGTAGAAACCCACATGAACATACCAAAAAAGCCTTGGAACCCATGTCCTAAAGAAACAACAACTACTTCAAAACAGACAGGAAGTAAAAGGGGTTTTAATGGTAACTTCAACATCTAGTACTGAGCCGTGCTTCTCAAGCAAAGAATGGATGTCCTCAAGGGTACAAGTCCAAGGCATGTTCTGGGCAATCAGAAAACTCCTCCTCTTCTTGAGTTTCAGCTTTTGATTGGAACTGGAGTTGTTCAACTGGGTTCTGGGTAGTCGTTGAGAAATGGATGACAAAACTGCTAAAGTTTCAAACTTAGATAGGAAAAGTATCTTCAAGAGTGTGAGAAAGTCGACGAAGAGGCAGAGTAGAGCAGAAGAAAGAGATGTTAGTACTGTTTTGATGGTGCTTACGGTGGTGGCTATTGACGTTTTGGAGAGAAAAGAGAGAGGATTGATGGGGAATACAAACTAGAGTCATAAGCAAGAAGCAAAGAATTCAGTTTCGTTAATGCCTTGGGGTTTTTCTTCTTCTGTGTTTTGGAAATTGGAAGATACTATCTCTGGATTGGATGAGAAGGAGGAAGACAAGTTTTTGTTTCCATATTTTTGGAAGGAAAAAAAGTGTAAAATGAAACTGGTGGCGATAGAGAATGAACGACACCGTCTGGAACCCTTATATATGTTTTTTGAGTTCCCTTCCCTGTTTTACATTTGGCTAATCTTGGCAACATGTAGGGATTTGGCAAAACCCCACAGAATGCCCTCTAACTTTTCGAGTACGTGGGACTTTACCCCTCACATTATAATATGTGATTTTATACCTTCATCATATTTGAGTTTATGATAATGAGGCAATATTTAATGTCGAGGGCCACGTGCATCGTTAATTTATGTCCGACATGGACAGCTCAACAACATGTGGGCCTTTTTTACACATTGGCAATCCAGCTCGGACTGCTTATTAGTAGGAAAGACACCGCCAAATAATTGAATTGTGGGCCTCACTCTAACTTACGAGTTGAAAAAAAAAAGGTTAATACCCCTTTTTGGTCCCTGAACTATTGTACGGACCCCCGATTTGGTCATTGAACTAAAAAAATCCCTGATTTGGTCCATACTGTTTACCATTTTTACCTCGATTTGGTCCTTCCGTTAAAATCTCACCGCTATCTCACGACAATTTAATGACATGTCAAACCTTTGAGACACGTCAGATGTATAAATGAATAAATAATGACATGGCAATGTGACATGTCATCTCCTTGCCCAACCCAACAAAAGTGGGACCCACCAAAATTACGAATTTGCCATCATCTTCTTCCTCCAGCAAACAAACCCAGCACCAAACAAAACCAGCACCTGGGTTGAATCGAACCCAACAACACCCTTTTTTTTTCCTTCCTCTTCCTTGCCTTGCTTTCTTCATCATCATCAAACACCAAAACCACAGAAAAAAAAATATATTTTTACCCCTGGGTTCCAAGGAACCCAGGCGTGGGTTCGCCTGGGAACTCAGCGCCTGGGTTCCGGTGTGGGTTGGAACCGAGGCGTAACCCCTGGGTTCCTTGGAACCCAACCCAGGCAAGCGTGCTGGGTTCGCAAGGAACCCAGCGCTTGGGTGGGTTCGAAGGAACCCAGGCCTGCTGGGTTCCGAGGGGAAAGAGAAGGGAAAGGGGAAGGAGAAAGGGAAAGGGAAAGGAGAAGGAGAAAGAAAAAGAAAAA